ATCTCTCACTTCATGAGTCTTTTTCCAGACTCTTTGAATCTTAGTTTTGTGACTGGGGTTGGCCACCAGAATGCCTTGAAAATAGCATCTTTTTCAGTCTCAGTCCTGGACACTTCTACGTTGACCCTCTTGAAAATACACAACTACCCAGCTTGAGAATGACGTTTTTGAATCTTGTAGTCCTGCTTGAACCTGCCTAGCTAATATTGCATTGATTATATATGAACATGGCGAGCTACTTCTGGAAATCTACCTGTGAAAACCCTATGGATTTGATCCATTACAGATCATGGTACAGGACCATCAGGACACCTGTGTGGCCATGAGTGGGGCAGGGGCTGGGACATGATTTCATGGCTGCTAATAACAACAGCAACCTCATGTCCATAATCCACTTCTCACCTGTGTCTTGTTCTGTATAGCCCGTGTGCTTAGAGGCCTGAGTGTTGGCCTTTTCTTCTTGAAATCTTGAAAGTTGCCATGACTTCTCTGGTATGCAGAAAATCCTTGGAGGATAAAACTCCAAAGAGGAGAAGCCCAGCCAATCCTCAGTTATTCCAGAAACCCCAGCTGAGGCACCAAGCAGGTAAATGAAGTCACTTTAGATCTTTGGACTCCAGTTGAGCTATTCCAACCAGTGCTATGTGAAGCTAAGACAGGCTGTCCCCACCACCTCTGTCCAAATTGCATAACATATAAAAAGAAAGGATGTTTTAACCACCAAATTTTGAGAATAATTAGCTCCATTGTAATAAGGAACTGACACAAGAAATTTGGGTGCTTTATTTAATCTCTAGACTGGACAGGAGAATTGAATGGGACTAATTTCTGTGTAGATCACAAGAAACTGTGGCTGACTCTGAGAAGAATGGGAATCCCAGAACACTTGATTGTGCTTATGCAAAACCTATACTTGGACCAGGAGGCCATTGTCAGAACAGAACAAGGAAACACTACATGGTTCAAAATTGGGAAGGGTATGCATCAAGAATGTATCCTATCTCCATATCTTTTAAATCTATGTGCAGAACAGATCATCTAGGAGATTGGACTCTATGAGGCATCAGGACTGGAGGAAGATTCATCAATAACCTGTGTTATGCAGATGACAGAATCCTGCTTGCTAAAACTGAGGAGGACCCGAAGCACTTGCTTCAGAGAGTTAAGGACTGCAGCCTTCAATATGGATTATAGCTCAACATCAAGAAAACAAAGATTCGTACCACTGGGCCAACAGGCAGCATCATGATGGATGATGAAGAGATTGAAATTGTTGACAGCTTCTGTTTGCTTGGCTCTTCAATCAACATTCTTGGTACCAGCAGCCAGGAAATTAAAAGATGAATAACATTGGGAAGATCTTCTGTCAGAGACCTCTCCAAGGTACTGAGGAACAATGATGTCAGTCTGGAGACTAAGGTGCCCCTAATACAGGCCATGGTCTTTGCAATAACTTGCAACACATCAGAGAGCTGGATAGTGACTAGGGATGATAGAAGGAGAGTTGATGCCTTTGAGCTTTGGTGCTGGAGAAGAGTATTGAATATACCATGGACTGCTAGGAGAATAAACATCTTTGTCCTGGAGAGGGTGAAGCCAGGCTGCTCATTGGAGGCAAGGATTCTGAAACTCCGTCTGACATACTTTGGATATATTGCAAGGTGGAATCAGTCCTTGGAGAGGGATGTCATGTTTGAGAGGGTGAAGCAACAGCACAAGAGAGGAGGACCCTCGATGATGGTTTGATTCCCTCACTGGGGTAATGGGGATAGACATGTTGGAGACAATAAGATTGACAATGGTAGAGCAGGGTTTAGTGCTGTTGTACATAGAGTCGCTATGAGTTGCAGGTGACTCGATGGCACATAACAACAACATAAAAATAAAAGATTCGGTTAATCTCCTCTCTGCTCTAGCATTCTATTATTCTGATGATAATTCCATTCTCTCATGCTCTGATGGCCTAGTGGGTACAGAGTTTTGCTGCCAATCTAAAGGCAGGTGATTAGAATCCACCAGCTTTACTGAGATAGAAAGATATGCAATTTCCCCCTGTGTGATTTACAGCTTCAGAAAATCCCCTGAAGGGTCAGCTGTGAGTTAGTTCTGAGTTGGGAGTTCTCAATGATAGGCACCCACTTTTTGTGAGAGATTCTTGTTATATGCCATCAAGTACAACTCAGCGACCCAATGATGAATAGTTAGAGTGCAAATAGTCTAAGTTGGTGATGCAAATGGTTACACATTAGGCTGCTAACAGAAAGGATGGAGTTTCAAATCTACCAAGAGTTACCTCACAAGAAAGACCTGGTGATCTACTTCTGACAAATCAACAGCTGACACCCTTACATATGAGATCACGAGCTGGAATCAACTTGATGGCAATTCGTGGTATGAATGGTAGAAAGGCACTGACATGCAGAAGATAAAAGGTGAATGAAACAAGGTACACTAAACAGTAATAAAAACCTGAGGTCTGGTGCAGTAAACACTCTGTCTAGTGATGGGAGGGGAAAAGAGTGAAACAAAGAAGAGAGCCTTGGGACTAAGTGACTCAGAAGTTCTTTTATTCTGGTAGAACTGGCTCCACATTCCTCAGACAAAGCCAGCCATGACTTCCAGTAGTTTTAATTTTTATGATAACATCACTGCAAAATCCTTCAGCATGAAGCGAACCCTGACTTTCACAGTGATCTGTATGAGAATCTGGATATGTCAGATCAGTCTCTCTCTCTCTTTTTCTCTCTCTCTCACACACACACACACACACACATACACACAAACACCTTTCTCCTTCTGGATATTTGGTAACTGATCCATTCCACATAATTTGAATGAAACCTTGTTTCCTTGGGGAATCTTTCCTCCCCACCCCCTTAGGGAACCTTCTTGGTATGTACAGCCCCTGTCTATCTTTTTCCTGATCTGCAGCTGGTGGATACTAAGCACTACATACCTTTGTCTTGACAGTACAACTTCTTTCCTAGAACCACCACCAGGTAGGGCTTCCTACAGTACCATTCAGAGCAAGAGGCTGTGAACGCTCCCTGAGTAGAGACAAGTTTTCTGAATCATACACACTGCTGTTTCTGTCTTCCTCTCATATTCCAAAATGTTCTTCTCAGAAATGGAAGAGAAACATGGTTTCTCCTCTAGGACTTCAGCCTGCAGGAGTCATAAATGTTGGTCAGAAATTCTACTAGGAGTGTTTGCTATTTGTCCCTCGGGAAAGAACTAGGTAATAGGGTCAAAACACCTGAGGCATTGGCTTGACTTTGTAGCTAACCACTAGGTGATGGTAAGCATGGCACCTAATGTCTTTTGACCTCAGTTCTTCTTTACCACATCAACACTGGGTTGTCTTTCTATCGTTAAACAGGACGTGGATTAGTCTTCATTTGGGAAGTAAAAAAGGAATGTGTAAATACATGACAATATAAAAGTATGAAGTCTAAGGGAAAAGACAGTAAGAAATAAGTGTGAAAGGAGGAGATTCAAAGGCCTCTTGGGCCATGCATCAGAGAGCTGAACTGTGACTAGGGATGATAGAAGGAGAATCAATATCTTTGAGCTGTGGTTCTGGAGAAGAGTACTAAATATACCATGCATTGCTAAGAGAGCAAAGAGGTCTGTCCTGGAGAAGGTGAAACCAGGCTATTCCTTGGAGGCAAGGATTTTGAAGCTCCTTCTGACATACTTTCGGCATGTTGCTAGGGGGGACTAGTCCTTGGAGAAGGACATCATCTTCGGAAGCGTGAACAGTGCAAGAAAGGAAGGCCCTGGATGAGATGGGATGACTGGGGTAATGGGAGTAGGTTTGTCAGAGACAATGAAATTGGCTCAGTATGGAGCAGCGTTCAGAGCAGTAGTACATAGGTTAGCTATGAGTCAGAGTCGACTTTGTTGGCACATAATAATAAACAAGTAAGCCATCACCAAGTTCTGGTGGCCTGGTGGGTAGGAAGTTGCCCTGTCAACCCACAGGTGAGCAGTTTGAAACCTTTCAGTGGGTTAAGCTGGAGCAAGATGGACAATCTCCTTTCATGGAGTGCCCTTTGAATTCCTTTGCATTCCAGGGAAGTAAGTTTGAGAGCAAAGCATTCCAAGTAGTTTGAGGCCTGACTCTATAGTCACACAAAAACATTTGCCAATCTGTTCCCAATGTGGCATGTGGAAGAAAAGCAGGAAAAGAAAAACTAGAAACAGCAAAACCCAGCCAAGCCGGTGAGCCAAAAGGCTGGGAAAGAGTGGTGGTAGCAAAAGAACTGTTAGGAAGGATACTTAACTGCTGGAACTCAGGGTTGGAAGCCAGGGGCTCCACCCCAGTCAGGACGCCTTGCTTGGAGGCGGTGCCTCTCAAATTCTCTATGAGCAGTTAAACCCTACTCGTTGGGAGGACTGGGCGAGTTGGGGCTGTTATGGGATCTTGAGTCCTGTGGCTGAGGCCACAGGGGAGTGGGGGTAGTGTTCGAGGCAGAGCTGGGCGGATCGCCCTCCCAGCGCTCACGCTTCTAGGAACTGCAGTTAATCTACTATGTTCATAGACGGTAATGTGAAGCTGGATGCCAGCAACCCCAGCTCGCGACCCATGATTTATGTTTCTTCGTAGAGTTCTTTTCTCCTTTGTATTCATGCCTAAAAAAAAGGAAAGTGACTTTGCCAAGTCTACTAAAGTGCTCATTTAACCCCAGCCCAGACTGAGAGCTCAGTGTAGCTCAATGAGGATGGGAGGAAGAAGCAGGGTGGGTAAAGGGCGTCGAGGAAGCGGGGCGGCCAAAAGCGCCGGCGGGCTTTACAGGAGGGTAGGGCCGTGCGCGCTCTACGGTCCGCGTGGCGAGGCCGGGAGTGCCGGGGCGAGGTTCCCCTGCGGCCGGAGCTGGTGAGTCACCCGGACCGGGGTGGGGTGGTCCCGGGAGGGCGGGGCGGGGCGGGCCTGGCCTTGCAGACTGAGGATGTGGCGGCTATAAAGCCCCACCCAGGCCACAGCCAGCTCCGCTCTGCATCAGGGGAGGCTCACAGCGCTCGGCGCCCGGCCCAGGTAAGCGGGGCGCGCCCCGCCCGCCCGCTATGGCCCCAGGGCCGCCGCGCTAGCGGGGAGACCAGGGCCCCAGAAAGCGGCCTGGCTGAGAGAGGCTGGGAACCGCACCAGGGAGGCCGTCCAGGCAGGGGGCTGGAGCTAGGAGCTGCACAAGGGAGCAGGCACAGGGGCTCGGTTGGGCCCACCAGGGGCGAAGGGGCGAGGAGCTGATCTGCGCCCAGGTCTAGGGGTGCAGGGCGCAATCGGGGGGGGGGGGGGTCGAACAGCCTGCTGCAGTCCTCGGGACGCCGAGGAGCGGGGTTCCCCGTGCCAGACACGCAGAGTGTGGGCAGGGAGGAGGTGGCAGGGTGTGGCCGCGGCAGCTCGGCCCCGGCTCGCGGAGCAGCCGTCAGAGGGCGCAGGCCTGTCGAAGTTTAGCAAAAGCTCTCAGCCATCTAGACACAAACCCCGTGCCTCTCAAGTTACTTTACATGAAACAGACCAGGATGAGGACGGCGGTGGAAAGGGGTTGAGAGGTGGGAGTTTTTAGTAGACACCTACTCTCCCAATAAAACAGAAACTCCGTTTCTGGATTCTTTTGTGGGATTAACAGCCTCTCTGATTGAATCTTGAGCATTTCCCAGTTCGTTGTGGGGTCACTGTGTGTCAGGAAGGAAGTGTGCCCCATCTATCTGTGGGGAGTGTTATCTTGACTGTTAACGATGCGAAAGTGAGTGGGACGGAGGGCACAGAAAAGGGCGTGGCCCCCGGCCGCTCCCCGCAGAGCTGTAGGGTGGCGCCGTGGCTTGAGTTCCTCTGACTTTTGAGAAGATCAGAGGCATACTTCGGTTTCCTTATCTGTAAAAGTGGGTTGAGAATGTTCATTCATTCCTCCACTCACCCAAGAAAGATCCTTACTGAAGATTTCAAAACACCGTATCTGTGGAAAGTACAGTGAAAACATACGTGCTATACAAATGCAAAATATCCTGGTTGCGTTTAAGATTGGCCATCTTAAAGTCCGAGTACTGAATTGTGTAAAAGAGCAGTCGTCTCCTGGGTCCGCATTGGGTCTTTACCAAGAAGCATGAGAGTCCAGGAACCTGGCCTCTTTCTATGGCTTCTGCCCAAATGCCTCGGGTCTGGGAGTTGGTGCCTTGATATGCAGGACACTTTGTTCATGTCCCAGGAGGTGCTTGAGTTCTGAGGCCAGCTCAGGAAAACCTCCTTAACACGCACTTTATCTACAGATAGTGCATACCAGATTTGGGGATGAGGGGAGGAAGAGGAGAGGGCTGGTTTAGGGGAAGGGTAGCCTGTGTAGACAGGAAGAATAACTCAACATTGAAATATTTTTTCAGAAATTTTCTTACTTTCAAAGTCGGCCATGATCAAATTGGAAACGTCTGTGTTTGTCCTCCCTTCCCCCCTCCCCCTCCTACTCGTTTAAAGTAACACTGACATGTTACAACAGCCCTTAGGCTTGTCCAGTTCAGGTTTTGTGTGTGATCCAGCCTCCTTTCCTATTTCCCTGTCTTTTCCCACCCAACTGTAAAACTACCCGACTGTTCAATTGATTCCTACTTAAGGTGATCCTTTGAGATTATAAATCTTTACAGAAGACTACCTGTCTTTCTCCTGTGGAGCAACAGATGGGTTCAAACTACTGCCCTTTTGGTTCACAGCCCAACACACTTCACACCGTGCCACCAGGGCAGCTGGCGACTCACACACTGAAGCCATAGTCTTTAAGTTAGGAAGAGTGTGTCTCCAGGTCTTTAGCAGTCCAGAAGCGTGGTATTAATAAAGCACGGAACAACCTTGTTAACCCCTACACAGCCATAGTCCATTGATGTAATTAAATATAGTAATTATGATTTTATGACACAAATATATTTATAATTAAATAGACTTTATCATGGACATATACGTTTTGTAGGTTGAGACTGTAGAATTCCAGGAACAGTGCTCTCCAGGCAGTGTGAAGGCAGAGACTGAGTGAGGGCTGAATCTAGAAATACTATCAGTGCTGAGACATTCCTGATCAGCAGTTTTCTCCCTTCTGAGAGTATTATCTAAAGTCTTCAAAGCTTTCTCCAGAAGTACCTATCACATCTTCATAGAAGGGTGTGGTGCTTATGAGCATTTTTTTAAATTGAAGGTTTATGCTTTGGGGACCATCACTCCCCGCAGTGCCTGCCTATCTGCAGTAAATGTGCAAGGAATAGTGCTGACTCACTGGCTTTGATTCGCACCCTGGGCCTGGATTGGAGTCTCAATATGTTACATCCCAAGTCTTGGAGCTATAAAAAGGACTGTATTGATTGCTATAAGCCTGCAGTCAGAGCCATTAGTTTCCTGGCCACTGAAATTTCATTTTGGATTTAAGTAGTTTTCCTGGCAAGGTAGATATTCTTCTATAATTGTTATTGATTTTGAGGGGTATCGGCATTTCCTGCACGAATCAGGCACTTACTGTCATGAGTTTGTTCTAGCCCAGTGGTTAGGTGCAACTCTGTGCCTGCTGAGGCATTTTCCATTTCCAGGGAGGATTGGGTGTGTTATGGAAGAGTCCCAGGCTCTGGAGGGTGGCTTTAAACATCCATTCATAATGCATTTATTCAGTACCTACTATGTGTAACTTTAAGAAGCTCTGGTAGTGTGGCGAGTTACATGCTGGATTGCTAACTAAAAGCTGAGTTCGAATCTACCAGCTGCTCCACAGGAGTGAGACTATTTTAAGATTACAGCCTCAGAAAGTCAATAGAGGGTCGCTGTGAGTTGTAAATAGGCTCTGGAAGTAGAGCAGTGAACAAAGAGGACAGAAAAACACTTGCGGTTGCAGCCTTTAAATTTATTACAGAAAGAGAAAGAAAAGACGTACCCTTGAACTTGACGATGGCAGAGATCAAAACAATGTTTCATTTTGGTATACATGAGTTTACTTAGAGCTGGAGATGTATCTATGGCAACAGAAACAATACAGGTAACTAACACATGATTGCAAACTCTAGCTTTCCTAAATGAATCTAGGTTTGTCTTGAACATCTAATTTAGTCTGTCCTGGGGAAACTGTTGTATTAAAGTGATCCTGGTGTAATCTGCCTTCCAGACATAATTGTAAGAATAAAATAGAAATGGAATGTGCCCTTTCTTTCTTTTGCACAGGAGAATTCACTACCTTCGGTTTTCTGGGTGCCACACCCTCTTCTAGTAACAGGCCACATCAGAGGAAATTCCAATGCTAAAAAAATTCTTCCCGCCCATTCACTTTCTGATGTATTTGCCCATTTCCCATTACCTGAGGCCGTCTCCACCTGTTTTGTAGGGAGGATAGGCCAGACAAGGGGCCAGGAGGTGGTCCAGCTTGTTCTTCTGTGGGTTCTCCCAAATTTCCAACGACCAGGACTCTTCCCTTCTACAGCACACCGAAGGGAAAGTGATTAAGCCTTGTCTCAGCTGACAGAGGATAACTTCGAAGCACCCAGACCTGAGCTCTGTCCCCAGGCTTGGTGACAGGGAACTCTTGCACTTTTTCTCCCTGCCACACCCAGCCTGTGCACTCAGGCCACTTGTCAGTCCTTCCTCCTTCCACCAACGTGTGTCTGGTGTGGGAAGAAGTAGATTCTATCTCCTCATTTTCTTGTGGACAGAGCAAGGACCCAGGGGGCCCAACAGTACAGAGGTGAGGGACTGGGTTGGGGTGAGAATGATCAGGAAGGTTGCCTCTGAGCGGCCAGATTTTGCTAGGATTTGCAAAAACTGGGAGAATCAATTCTGCCAGGTAATGACACTCAGGGAGCTCTGATGGCCTAGTGGCGAGAAGCTGTGCTTCAATCCTGAAGGCATGTGGTTCGAGGTCACCAGCCACTCTGCGGGAGGAGGATGAGCAATCTCCCATGTGATTAACTGGCTCTGAAAAACCTGCCGGAGGGTCAGCTATGGGTTGGTTCCGACTCAACAGTACAACCACAGCAATGACCTTACAGGATAGAGTAGAGCAGTCATAGTTTCTTGAAGTTATTAGTCATTAAGGACAGACTTCCACATCCTTCTCCCATGTAATGGCGGGAGTTGGGAGTGGCCAAGCACTTTAACCATTGTGCCACAAGGGCTCCTTCAGATTTGTCCTGAAGTTGGGAATTTTGACTACTGGCTCTGAACACATTGGAGCTAGGGCTATTTTTCAGTGTTCGATTTGAGGGAGAGAAGAAAGAAGGAAGAAGAGTATGCTAGGTAAAAAGTGGAGGGGAACGAGCTGGTATAGAAAAACCAGTATGTGTAGACCATGCAGGAGTTCAGCTGGACCTACTGTGTGCCAGGGGCCATGCCTATGAAAGGCAGCATTGACTCACCTCTAGGATTTCGGTTATGCAGGAGCACAGGGCAGGGAGGGGCCATGAACAAAGGGAACATTTATCACGGTTTTTTGAGTCCTCAGGGATCACTGGACCTTAGCTCATCAGGACAGAGTCTTCATGGGGTGGAACCATGAAAGGCACAGGCTTGGAGATAGCAGGGATAGTGGTGGGGTGTGTGTGTGTGTGTGTGTGTGTGTGTGTGTGTGTGTGTGAAGAGCTAACAATCTAAGCAGACTTGGCAGCATGGTCTGTTTGTGAGGGTGTATAGATGTGAATGGAAACAAACCTGGATCTCCTGTTAGGGAGCCCATTGTGATTCATGGCAACCCTCAACTGGGTTTCCGTTGTTGTAAATCTTAACAGGAGGAAACTGCTTCATCATTTTTCTTTTGCACACCTGGTGGGTTTGAACTGCAGACCTTTTGGTTAGTAGCCTAACAGTTAACCTACTTCACCTCCACGGCTCCTTTATTAGTTTAGGAGTGGTTGCATACATGGGTTTGTAAAAGGTATTGAATAGTGCAAAGGTGGGTACAGTCCAGAGTGCGGAAGACCTTACAAGCTGACTTCTCTGTAGGCAGCCGGGCCCTTCTGGAAATACAACCAGTGAGCTATAAAATACTGAAATTAAGTTGAAGATGTGAAGGTCTGGATTTCCCA